TGAATTTCCCCAGCAGTGGGGAGGTGATGAGGAGAAACTCTCCAACTATCTTGCAGATAGGATTCCCCATTGAAGGGAGTGGTAGCACAGTGCCTTCTTTCTTTCTAAGAGTTTTTCTTGTGTTGTTAGCTTGGCTCCCATTTTGCATACTCCACAATGCCCCACACTATTGTAGGAAGGAGACATGGGAAGAAAAAAAGTGGCTACTGCTAAGAAAAAATGGAGAAGAAAGTGGCCTTTCATTTCTAGATGAGTAAGCAAGAAAAAACTCTGCTCCTTCTCCTTCTCCTTCCTCTTCATATGTCTTCAATCACCCAGGCACCCTGCTCTTCCTAATCTGAAAAACCAAAATGAAATCTATGAGAGCAATTACTTCATAATGGTTTCCCTTGGATATTAACTAAATGGTGGGGAGTCAATGAAGCTAAAGGCTGCTGGAGAGATGGAAGACAGGACACTCACACGCTTCAGCAATCTCATAGATAAGCACAAGAATTCTGAATCCAGTGCATTTCTCCAGAATTTGGTTTTCCTTTGAATTTATTTCTGAAAGTAATATATTTTCTATCAAATTGATGGAGAATGGTCAAAAAACAGTGTAAAGATTTTTGGCACACCACTAATACGTACAAGCCAAGCGCTTTTTACCAAGAACAATATGCTGTGTACATTAGATTACCCTGACATTTGTGAGCATGGGTGTTTAAATTCTAAAACTGTGACCCATGTTTGCATATGGACTATGGAGAATTGTAAAAGTGAAATGCTTTACATCATGTGAAACTGACTCAGGTCAATACAGTGTTGAAGCTTCACAGAAAAAAAAATCCTTGAATTATGATGTTAACGATCTTGTGTAGTTTAACGTTCCATCATCAAGAGAAACTGTAATACAATATCAAAAGTATAAATAAAAAAGATTAAAGTGTCAAAGGATGGGAAAAGCTTAAGAACACAGGCATTGATTACATTCTGAAGAAAGCAGTTTATGACCCTGAAATACACATTTCCTGTAGGAGTATTTGTCATTTATCTGACATGGAATACTGTTATAGATTCATGGGGGAGGAAACCCCTAATATAATATTCTCTTGATAGCACTTTTTCCTTACAAGAATTGATTAGCTCATCAGCTCATGTTACATTTAAAAACAATTGCTATGGAATCATAGCTGGCCACCCATAGCATACGTGGACACATTTCTGTATGGTGATAGCATTGTCCCAAAGATTTGCAGAGATTTCAAACATAACTACCCCCATGTTGCCAGATTTTGCAATGGTGAAATTTAAATTGCTGCGAGAGCATGGGTGCTGCTTCACATAAATGGTCTGTTAAGCCTGTTTATATTACAGGCCAACTCTGAATGAGTGAAGTAGATCACTCAGTTTCTGGAAGAGTACATTGTTTCCTTGTGGCAGGGGTGTTGAATCTCTTTCAGCATGAGAGCCAAATTCCATTTTGGATAAGTTCTTGGGTGATGTGTTGCACGAGTAGGCAGGGCTAAAGACAAAAGAGGCAGGGTCAGAATACCAAAATACTAACATATTTTACTCTGAAGCTATTATGGCCAGAAACTAAATCTAGCAAGAGGCATTTCAACATTTTAGAATGGGGGAAAACTGCAAAAAGCTGGGAAACCTCCAATGAATTGGTGCAATGGGACTGGCAGAAGTGGATATGGCCATCTGAGGAATGCTGCAGGGCTAGATCTATTTGTTTAGGATATTTGTATGCTGTCCTTTGCAAAAGCCTCAGGATGGCTTACACAAATAAAATACAAATATCTAACATAACATTAATTAACAACTCACAGGCTGCAATTAAAATATGACGATAAAATTCAATATTAAAACTTATTAAAATATTGATTAAAAAGATTGCGATCCCAGGAAGACCAGCTTTGGCCTGTGGTCCTGAGCTTCTACCCCCTTGCCTTAAAGAGAAATACTATTACTCTGTTTCTATTGCGGCAGGCAAAAATCCAACCAACCAGCTTTTTTTTTTCAACAGTGCCTAGCCAAGATGTCTCTGGGAAGCCTACAAGCAAGAAATGAAGGTGAAAGCTGCACCTACTGCTTGTATCTTGTATGTTTTACAGATTCTTTTCTAAACATCATCAAATAACTTGCCATTAACAGGCACTCAAGAAGGAAACTCCTCACATGACAATTTCTCAGCATATTTAACCCTTTCCCCAGCCCATGAAAAAGCCTCCACAATTCCATATGAATCTGAAATACTCTGTGAGTTGAACATTTCTAATCTGTGCACTAATTTTTTTTTCTCAGATTATTGTACCTCCCAAGTCGCTCAAGATGAAAGTGGGAAGAGAAAATCAAGCAGAAGTACGAAAGATCAGGAGTAGTATAAAATTTGTCTGTATGTGAAGCAGAGTTGGACCAAATTACATGTGATACTGCAGAAAACACTACAGCTTAATACTAGAGTGTTTTTGTTTGTTTTTGTTTTTGTTTTTTTATTTATTTTTTACTTATTTTTGGATTTATATCCTGTCTTTTTCCTACAAAGGGCTCAAGGCAGCTTACATCATTCTCCTCCTCCATCTTATCCCCACAACAACCCTGTGAGGTAGGTTGGGCTGAAAGTCTGTGACTGGCCCAGAGTCACCCAGCTGGCTCCATGGCTGAGCAGGGACTAGAACCCAGGTCGTCTGAGTCCCAGTCCCATGCTCTTAACCACTACGCCACACTGGCTCAAACTGTTTTGCATGCAGAAGGACCCCAAGTTCACATGTTAATGAAGGCTTACTTAATTTTGCACTGACAAATTACATTGTCAGTCAAAACTTGGTTATCCTTCATATTTCTCCAAATATTTATTTATTTATTTAGGATATTTGTATGCTGTCCTTTGCAAGAGCCTCAGGACGGCTTACACAAATAAAATACAAATATCTAACATAACATAAATTAATTAACGACCCACTGTAAATCCATATTACAATGGATGTCTTCCCCAAAATATGCATATTAGGTAAAATAGCATTCATAATGCATTAGATTAGAGCAATTGCTAGCAGAAATGTCTATTTTGGGCAAAAATGTTTATTTTAGCAGAGGTGTACGTTAGAAACACTCTTTCCTTTCCTTCGGAAGAGAAAAATATTCCAAGCATGCAGAGGGTTCTTTTTGAAACATTATTGCAACAAAGGAAGTGGAGAGTTTCCTTCCCCTTGCCAGCTCATCTCAGCACATATTCACATCCCATTTTATGCCCCACCCCTGGCCACTTCTCCCTCTTTCCCCCCGCATTGGCCAGGGTAATGGGAGGTTACAGATCTTTTCCATCCACCTATCCTGTGCCACTGATACCTGTTCTTCCCTCCCACTTGGTCCCTCCCAGGTGAATTATAATGAGCTTATTTCCTATGCAGGGTGTGTTTGTTAACAGTCATGAGGTCATTCACTGAGCAAGCTTCCTACTACCTTGTCTACGTGACAATTACCTCCTGTTATCTGATCTCGGCCCCCTCCTCCTTTGGCCAAGGAATTTTCTTTGTAACATTTTTCACTCTTCCCGTTTCCTTGTTTCAAATCATCCTTTCATCCCTATCAGTGCGCACACCAAAATAATTTTCATGTGAACTTTTTTCCTAAGTAAATCTGGAGCTTTAGAATGAGCTGAATTTAAGACTGCAAAAATTCTCAAAGTTGAATTTCAGATTGGAAAAATTTGGGGCAATACCAAGATTGGTACACTTCTCTGTTCCTAGCAGCAGCACTGAGAATTACCTGAAATCTTGGAGAGTCACTAATAGTCAGAATAAGAAGCGCTGGGCTAGATAGAGCTGGAATATAGGGCAGCTTCTTATGCTAAAGATGAGAGTCTATATTATAACTGGAGCCTAAATATATTTTAGAGTTTGTAGTTCACCTACAGCAAGGGTGGACAATGTTCTATAGTTCTGGTTTACAGCTTCTAGTATCCCTGTATACTGCCCATGCTGGTTGGGCTTTATTGGGGGTTGCAGTCCTAAATGTCTGTAAGCCATCAGGTTTCCTGTCCTATTACCCATGGCTCATCTTCCACACTAACCATGATGTTTTAGACGCAATAACTCAGAGGAAGGAGCCTATGGTGGGATTTTTTTTTTTAATGGATGCTTACTTGACTCCCCCCCTGCCCCATTTCCAAACATCTCACACTTCTATACCGTGGGCAACATAGTTCTTTCAGTCCCATATGTGGTGTATCCAACCAATATTTTTTGAAAATATTTGTTCAGGATAATGAGGAAATCTATTTTACAACAGGAAAGATGGAATAATTGCATACTTTTTGCAAAAAAAATTGCTACATTTAGCTGTTGCATTGAATTTTAAGAAACTGCAGAAAGCGATTCTGGATAGGCAATTTACACTTCAAATCAAGCTAAAAAATTATAATTGCCTCTAGGATTCATAGTTCAAATGAAATAACATCATGGGAGTGGGGGAATCATTACTACATCTCAAAATAAAAGCTCCTGCAACATCATTAACAATATGAAACCAAGAACGGAATGTATGTCCGAGGAACTGGTACACAATTAAAAATACTGAGTTGGCCAAATTAGAGCACATTTTTGAAAACAAAACTCTACATAAATGAGTAATTGGGGTCCATTTGCAAAGCTCTATGTTTGGAAAAACCTCTGTTTTGTCTCAATATGTCTTGAGAAAGTACAAGCAGCTCACAATGGAACTGGCATGGATTTCTTCAGTAAGATTTGTAGCATAATTCTGCCTGCATTAACAACCCTGAATAAGAAACCAAAAATAGAATCATGTTGGACTCCTTTTACATGGGTCAGGTTTTTTTAAAAACCATTGCTGCACTTAAGACCAGTGGTAGAGATACCCAGTCCCTGCCTTTCCAGCCCACCCTGACAGAAAATAACCCTGTTTAAAATAGATCTTCTCTGAAGCAGCAAAGCCTGTAAGTCAATCTTACATGGATATCATCAGGACTGCAATAGGACCTAGAAGCCCTTCAGAACGTTTTGCCCCTAACTTCATATGGAGTCTGAAAACTGGCCAAAATGTAGTGCACCCTGGCCCCAGATCTAGGAGAGCCGTTTCAGAATGACTCATTTCATGCCTGTTTCCATATTATTATAGCCCTTTCATATCTTAAAATAAATATATGTCTGTTAAGGTGGTTCTGTGCCCTCTTTTACAGAAGACAGTCCTCTATGTGTAGGACTACCCAAGAACCATCCCTTATTTTGAGGTCCAAATCTGGTTTCAAGCAACCATCAGAAGGAATAGATGGCACTTGTATTTACATCTAGACTACAGACTGAGCAAGTCACATAGGTCATCTGGTCAGCTTTCTGAACTATGGTGATATGTACTGTATTTCTATTAAAGTTATATTAATTGATTTTCCCTCTTTCCCAATCTCTATCTTTGTGATGCATGTCCATCCTGAAATCTGGCTTTGAATCGACTCTTGATATAAATGTCAGTTTGGGTACACTTCTATAAACACACTCTGATTCCTGGAGGGCATACCATAGTTGATAGAATTTATTTTATAAAATAAACATAACAGTATAAGCACTATCTATATAGCATATTAAAAAGAAACAATGAGAGATTGAATCAAAACAGGATCGTTCTGTTGATAAAGCAAGGCACACATTTCAAATACCATTCTCTGGGGTATCACTCAGATACTTTCAAATTGGGAAATGAAGCAGCTTTTCTCAATGGATAAAAGGACAACAGAGACTTTTCCAGGACCCAGTGAACAATGCACACTTCCAAGAAAACAAAAAGAGCAAATCATGGTTATGTTGTTCTTATGTAGTTGTGGTTATTTACTTCAATCCAGAGAAAATAAGCATATTTGTAAAGTTAAGAAAAGTTTAAATAAGTAAACTTTATAGGGTTTTATGATTAGAATGTAGAAAAGGGATCGTAAAGGCAAGGCGTGCAGAGTACGACTCTCATTTCTCTTCTGCTATCGGGAACCCCTCAGAGAAACACTAGTGTACAGGTACCTGGCTAGGATGTGTGAAGAATCTGCTTTGGACAAAACAATCTACCAGATTCCCTTGTTTTAGCTTCCTGTACTCTGGTCTACTCTGCAGCAATGCAGAGTCCAAGTTCCTGGTGAGCAGGCCCAGGGTTCATAGAAGGCTTGCCAAGAATCAAGGAGGAGATGCCAACTAGAGGACAGGCACATAGAAAGGAGGCAGTCTCTGACAGATGCTTGGAGGCACAAAAACCCATCTTCTGCCAAATATTCTTTTTATTCAAATAGGCATAGGTCATGGTCTAGAATTGATATGGATTGGATAACTCCAGACTTAGTACCAGATCTGATAGAAGCTGAAATAGAGGCAAATGTCTGGGCAGATCATAACCCGGTATTTTTATCACTAAAAGGAACTGTAAGGACGCCCAGATGGAGCCTAGATAAAACATTGTTAAAAGATACAAAATTTATAGAAAATATAAATAAAGAAATGCAAGTATTTTTTCAAATAAATAAACCAGAAGAAACTTCTTTACAGAATGTCTGAGATACAGCTAAAGCCTATGTCAGGGGAGTGATAATAACATACTCAGAGCAAATAAGTAAAAAGAAAAAACAAGAGCGAGCAGTGATAGTAGAGGAGTTGATGAAACAGGAACAAGAGCTGCAGGAAGACCCATCAAAAGAAAGTCTTAAATCTCAATTGGATATTTTAAAGCGTAAGTTAAACCTTTTGGATACAAATGAGCTTACTAAACAAATGAAGTTGACCAAACAGAGCTTCTTCGAAAATGCTAATAAACCAGGGAGATGGTTAGCACATAAAGTTAAGAAAGAAAAAGAGAAGAGATTGATTGTGAAACTGAAAGACGGAGAAGGACGATTACATGTACAGAGTGCACAAATCAAGAAAATAGTGGAAGACTTTTTTACAAAGTTAAATCAGAAGGAGGAGATTTCAATCGAAAAAGTTAAAGAATATATTCGAAAGGAAGAGTTACCGAAACTACCAGAAAAATACCAAAAGCTATTAAATCAAGAAGTCACAATTACAGAAGTAATAGAAGCAATTAAGCGACAGAAGAATGACAAAACCCCTGGCCCAGATGGTCTGCCAGCTGAGTTTTACAAATCTTTTGAAGCAATTTTTGCTACATTTTTAAAAGATAAATGTAATGAAGCACTGTTAAATGCTAAAATACCAACTACTTGGACTGATATCACATTAATACCGAAAGAAGATATGGATGTAGCACAGTTCCAAAACTACTGACCTATATCATTATTAAATGTGGATTACAAAATTTTTGCTTCTATACTCGCAGAAAGATTAAAGAAGTTATTAATAGACTTTATCCATCCAGACCAAAATGGCTTTTTGCCAAAAAGACAAATGAAGAATAACTTGAGAACTATCTTGGATATCTTAGAATATTATGAGATACATCCCGAAAAACCAATGGCTTTACTGTTTATGGACGCCCAAAAAGCCTTTGATAATGTTAATTGGCCATTTATGAAGCAACACATGATTCAAATGGAGTTTGGTGAAAAATATATGAATGGGATATCAAGTATTTATCAAAAACAGTCAGCCAGGATCTTAATTAATGGAGAACTTTCAAACCCTATAGAGATTCAAAAGGGCACAAGACAAGGCTGTCTGTTGTCACCCCTCCTGTTTATTTTGATTTTAGAAGTACTGAACAAAGGCACTAGAATTAGGGACGAAAGTTATACATTGCAAGCATTCGCAGATGATTTGGTCTTTATAATGGAGGAACCTTTTGTAACAATGCCTAAACTTTTGCAACGGATTGAAGAATATGGTGAAGTTACGGGAATGAAAATAAATAGAGAAAAAACAAAACTGTTAGTTAAAAACCTTACACGAGAACAAAAAGAAAGGTTCCAGGAACAAGTAGATTTGCACATTGCTAAAAAGCTTAAATACTTGGGAATCTGTCTTACAGCTAAATGTACCACTTTGAAAGAAGATCATTATGATAAATTATTGAAGGATATTGAAGGTGATTTGGAAAAATGGGCCAATTTACAATTATCTTTGATGGGAAGAATAGCACTTGTTAAAATGAATATATTACCTAAACTTCTGTTTCTGTTTCAAATGATTCCCGTAAAAATTGATAAAAAAAATTTTTGATGATCTAAATTTTCAAATCTCAAGATTTATCTGGAGAAAAAAGAAACCAAGGATTAAATTAAAAATGCTTCAGGAAGCTAAAAGGAATGGAGGTTTTGGTCTTCCCGATTGGATGATGTATTATCAAGCGTCTGTGTTAACATGGCTAAAAGAATGGATAACTTTGCGAAATAAGAGAATTTTGTATCTTGAAGGACATGATTTGCAGATGGGTTGGCATGCTTATATGTGGTATGAAAAAGCTAAGTCACATGGATCTTTTCTGAGTCACTTTGTTAGAAGATCTTTAATGTCAGACTGGGAAAAACTAAAGCTAAAACTGTATAATAAATTACCAAGATGGCTTTCACCTATGGAAGCTTTTGTATATCCAAATGTATTGAACTTTGAAAAGATCATTAGATATGACGATATTTTGGATAAGGACGGTGGCCTGAAACTGGAGCAAGAAATACAAGAACAGGGACTTAATATTTCCTGGTGGTATAAGGTGCAGATGCAATCGAGATATGCTAAACACTGTAAAGCATGGGGATTCTACAAAGTCCTAACAGAGTTTGATCAAGTGATGCTTAAAACAGATGAAAAAATTAATAAAAGTCTATATGATTTTTTACTTGACAGGAAAAAGAAAGGGGAACAGGTTAAGGAAATTATGATAACATGGGCACAAAACTTTGGATTTAATGTTGAACTAGAAAAGTGGCAAAAACTATGGGAAAGAAACATTAAGGTAACATTAGCAACTTCATATAAAGAAAATTTATATAAAATGTTCTATAGATGGTATTTGTCACCAAGTCAATTAGCTAAGATGTTTCCAAATAAGTCAAATAGATGTTGGAAATGTAAACATAAAGTGGGTACTTTTTATCACATGTGGTGGACTTGTGATAAGGTGAAAAAATATTGGATTAAAATACATAGATGGATGGAGGAAATATTACAAAAACCCTTTGCTTTTAAATCCCAAGTTTTCTTGTTAGGCATCATACTCAAAGACGTTAACAGACAGGAAATGTATCTGATGCTGCACCTAATTACAGCAGCGAGGATTGCATTTGCTCAATATTGGAAAAGTGAGGAGCTGCCCATCGATGGATTGATTGTAAGAAAGATCTTGGACTGCACAGAAATGGATAGATTGACTTTATCATTGAAGGAGAAAGAGGATACTGACTTCTATTGAACTTGGGACATGTAGACCAATGTTTAGTCTGGAACACTGTAAAGTCTGTATACAAAAGAACAGTTTACACAATTGCATTCCCATAACAAATGGACATATGTCATCAAGGGAAATCTGGTTTTTCCTCAGGAAATATTGAAAGGAAGAGCCAAACCCCTACTGTTGGCTGGCCATGTTCTTATAGAGAGCTTCTTCACAAAATATAAGAATTTTTTCCTGATTATAAAACTGTCATATTCCTGAAGACAGAAGTGCAATCTTTCTCCCAAAAGAACTTAAGCTCATATCAAAGAGACTCTCTAACAAAATTAAATCAAAATGTGTGTGTGTGTGTAAGGGAATATGAAGGGTATATGAAGTCTTATCTATTATGAAATCTTACTCCTCCTTCCTTTCCATAGTTCCCAAAATGAATATTGATGAAATGAGCTCAAACAAAAATATATTTGCAACTTTCTTCCTAACTTTCTTTCTTCTTTAATATTGAGTTGAAAATAAGCAGATGTTGGCTGTGAAATAAAGTTTCCTGAAATGGATTGATAACATCATGATCCTCTACCCTAAAGACTCACAACTCTCTAAACCTCTGTCTACTGTCCCATCCTGCCATCAGAAAGTTTACTGTTTGGGGGAAACTAGGAATTTTAGAATAGGCTTTCGATCAGAGGTGAGCAACACATGGCCCCTGCAGGCTGTATGCAGCCCCCACCCCACCAATTTGCAATTTGCAGCAGTGGCACAAAGCAGCAACAGCCACCAAAAACCAGCAGTAGGCAAACAACCCATTTGAAAACATGCTAAATTTGTCCCTTTTAACCCTCAATAGTGCCTAGCACTCTCACAGAAATGGTCCTGGGGGCCAGAAGTGCCTCCCAGTCCCTCCAAATGTGCTTTCCCCTGCCTAAAGCAATGGGGAATAAGGCAATAGTGAAACAAAATATTTTTTCTATCCAAATATATTGGAAATATCAAACAGTATGTCAAGCAAATGGTTATATGGAATTTGGCCATATCCCTGCCCTTCCCAGCTGATTTTGCTTTATGACTTATCCCTTTGCCCATTGGCTTCCCTATCTACCATTACCTGGGGTCTTTCCAGCGCCCTCTTTCTTTCATTTCACAGCGAGCTGTAACCCATCCCTGTGACCATAGATGCATGCCATGGTTTCTTGGCAACAAAATCAAAGGGGCCTTTATGACATCAGGAGCCATTAGTCCAATCAGAGCATTTTCATTTGGTCCAAGCAGCACTGGTTTCAGTAAAGACTGTTGACATCCCAAAGCACCACCACCAAGTATGGAGAAACAGTGCTGTTCCTGATCAATGATGTCACTGAAAATTTGTAACTAAGGGCATGGCTGTACATTCCTTTGATTGCTGGGAGAGAACTTATGTAAATGCTGCAAGTACTTAGCCCAGAAATGTTTTAAAATAAATATGATAGAAGCATAATTGTACAGCTCTTCAGAAGAAAGCACAAAAGTTTCAGTGGAATGTTAAAGCACATGCAAGATAGAACCCTTTGGCACTCCATAGGAAGAAAATGATCAGGAAGACCGGCATCTCTCAACACTCCCTTAGATGTCATATCCTCTGGAAAGAATAGAGCCACTGTTTCTATGTGAACCCACAGATTCCATGTTTATGCTATCAGTATGTGGATGATGCACTATTCTCTCTCTTCTTTCACCAGCTCTTGAGAAGTCAGTGGAACTGGATTTTGGTACCTGTTTAATGAGTTGGATGCAGATTTATTCAGAATAGAACAGGTGTGGCTAATTTAAGTCCCTTTGATGCCAATGGTTCTGCTCTAATTATGACTATGTCTGAATCTGACCTAACAGACTATACGTAAGCAAATAAGCTGAAACTTAATCCAGACAAGATGGAAATATAATTGATTAGGAACAGCCCAGTCTGGAGCTAGATGGTGCTAGATGATGTTGTATTCTCTTTGAAGTGCCAGTGTGGTATAGCGGTTAAGAGCATGGGACTGGGACTCAGACGATCTGGGTTCTAGTCCCCACTCAGCCATGGAGCCAACTGGGTGACTTTGGGCCAGTCACAGACTCTCAGCCCAACCTACCTCACAGGGTTGTTGTTTATTTATTTATTTATTATTTATTTATTAAAACATTTTTATGCCGCCCCATTCGCCGAAGCC